AGCAGCTGCCCGGGTGGGGGTCCCGACGGCCTGGGAGGCGGAGCGGGCCTGGCGCGGCTTTTGGGGCTGTGGACGCGGTCCCCCGGCGCCGGCAGGTGCAGGCTGCTGGCCGGACTCGGTGCTCCCGGGCTTCCGCGCACGGGGCTCCCGGGCGGCCCAGCCGGCGCGGTCCGGGAGGGAGGCGAGGCCTGGCGGCGTGGGCCGGCGTTGCCTGCGGCCGCGGCGACTCCCAAGGACGACTCTCGGCTGCGGCCCGCGGCGGCCGGGCGCTCGGAGGCCCGGAAGCTCCTGGGGCTGGCTTACCCCGAGCGCCGGAGGCTGGCAGGTAGGACCGTCTTCCCCTGCTGGCTGGCGCACCTTACGGAGCGCGTGATCCCGGGTTACCAGAGGGCACGCTGCGGGGGCGGCGGAGAGACCCAGGGCCAGCTGCAGCACCCGGAGGAGGGACGGGGTGGCCTTCTACCTGGGGAGTTCTACAGAGAAGTGCTGGACAGAGCGCTCAGCTCGCTGTAGCATTGTCAAGCCTTTCAGCTTAACGGAGAGTCTGTTCGCATGTGTTTTATGTTTGTTTTCTTAGCTTGACACACGTTATACAAGTGGAGCAGTATCTCATTTTGAGAATCTTTGGGTCTTTCCTGCTTTGGCTTTGCCAGCATTCTCAGAATGAGGTGGGGGTTTTGTTCCCTCTCTTTTTAAAATTCATTCTAGCCAAAAAATACCCATTTTGTATTATGCACCTAGACTATATTTTAAAAACGTTGTTTGCTTTAGGCAAGTTTATTAAACAGTCAACAGTATTTTTTATGTGAACGAAGTCTAAAACCCTTAGATTTGGCTCGTGTTTTTGCCTTCCTGTGTGGTGAGCAGGAAGTTACTAGGCACTTTTCGGAACAGTCAACAGTGGTCATGATCAGTGATCTGTGACCCCCCAGCAGCTTTGAGAGACTGTAGATCATAACCCATCTAAATCGTAGTTGAGGAGCCGCCCGGTGGCGCACGCGGTTAAGTGCGTGCGCTCTGCTGCGGTGGCCCGGGGTTCGCGGGTTCGGACCCGGAGCGCGCACCGACGCACTGCTTGTTGAGCCGTGCTGTGGCGGTGTCCCAGATAAAGTAGAGGAAGATGGGCACAGAGGTTAGCTCAGAGCCAGTCTTCCTCAGAAAAAAGAGGAGGATTGGCATCAGATGTCAGCTCAGGGCTGATCTTCCTCACACACGAAAAATAAATAAAACATCATAGTTGAGTAACTTTTTAAAGAAATCAAAAAGAATTGTTTTAGAAACAAAATCCAGATAAACAGAAAGATTTTCTATGGTTCCTCAAATTTAGCTATAAGTGGAGAAATGTTTAAATGCAAGAGCCTTGTAAGATCTAAAAGTTTTTGAGATTTTTCTAAATTTTCATTTCTTTAATAAATATTTATTGAACCCTCATTGTGTGCTAGGCCCTGGGGTTACTGTGGTGAACAGAAAGAAAGGTGGTTCCTGCTCCTCCTGGGGCTTCTAGCTTATGAAGGGAGAAACATTAATGAAATGATCATATGGCTAGAGATAGAACTGCAGCTGTGATGAGGGTGGAATGAGGGCCTGTGAAGTTGTCAGGTGCAACGGTTAAAACAGGAGACTCCTACATTCTCCGCTCTAAATCCATTGCTCCTGGAGAGTGCTCTGTGGTTTGGGCAGGTTGGTGCTGTGGAGGAGGGCAGTTAGAGTGGGAACATTTTACCTCTCACTGACTGTTAGAGCTTAGGGGGATTCTTGGTATCACTGAGGTATGAAGAAGACTATTTTGTCGCTCAGTTGGTTGTATGTAGATTTTCATGGAAATAAAGATCTTTTCCTGTCTTAAAATTTTGAGCCTGGGAGCTCTCCCTGGACTATGAGCTGCTTGAGACAGGGGCTGTGTCTGAATCATTCCTCTTTCTGTCTCTAGTTCTTAGCATGTGTGTGGCACAGAGCAGGGGCTCAGGGTGCCTTCGAAGAAAGAATAAATGATGGTATGACCAGGCCCAGATCAAGGCCTAAATTTAGAGACCCCCAAGCACTGGAGGGTGTGTCCACCATTCCCATATGCAACTCAAAACATGAGGAAATCCAGTTTCGTTTTGTTTCTGAAATATTAGATGTCAACAAGGTTTTTTAGATGTCAGGCTTTGCTGGTACCTGCACGTGCTCAGCCGTGTTGGGTAGCCCTGCCCTGCCTCTCCCATAACCATCGTCCCGGCTATGACCATCGTCCTGGTACTCTCTTGCCCTGTTCCCACATGTCCTGTCATGCTAGTATGTTGAGAAGACAGCCTAACACAAGGCAGGAGCTGTGCTTCCCTTTATTTAAGAAGGGGAGCTGTTTTGATCTGCTGCATTGAATAATTGTGAACATCTAATTTGAGGAGATAAGTCTGGGGTTGGTACACTATTTTTTATTTTTACCTTTTAAATAGATCATAAATACATATTATATATTATGAGGAAATCTGATGAAAAACGCTTATTAGGACATATGGTTTCCTCAGAAGTCATTTTATATGATATATTGAAGCCAGTCTGGATGTTGGCATTTGTGGGAATAAGAGGAAGTGGGGTCCATCATTAATTTGTAATTTATCATCATAAGAGCAGCCTCAGAGGTTGGCACATCTCTTTGAAATGCGAGAGATAAAGAGCAGGTGTGTGTGTGTGTGTGTGTGTGTGTGTATTTTTTAGTCAAGAGACCAGAAAGACCAGAAAACTTTGATCTGAAGTGATTTGTAACAGAAACTTTAAAGACAGGGTCTACCATTTGAAATGTTCACAGACGTGTACTGAGAACAGTTTTAGCCTTCTTTCCATTCCTCTTCTACAGAAACTGTGGTCCTCTAAGCTGTCCCTTTGCCCCTCTTCCCTGAGTCTTACTTTGTGTAGGAATTTGCAACTGTCTTCCTACAGCTATGCCTACAAAGTTGCTCTCTAGTCTTTGTTTACTGATAATTCTTCATCTTATCACCTTGGCCAGAGGAGTCGTAAAGGATGCAGGAGCTCACTGAGGAGCCCTGTGTGGACTGATGGATAAGAAGTAATTTGTCAGACCCCTCTTGCTGCACCTGGCAGATAGAAGAGGCTACTGAGGGTTCGAACCATCCCAGTGAGTTAGGGGCAGAAACATTGCATAAAGTTGGGTCTTAGGAGTGAGCTGTGGGCCCTTAGGGTGCTGTGAGGTTATAATGATGATGCCAGCCTGGAGATCATTTGTGTGGTGGGCCTCGGCATGCAGTGGCAGCTTGCCTTCCCCACGCTTCCCAGGCAGTTTCCTAGTTCAGCTGTGGAAGGTACACATCCACCTCTCCACACCCGTGTTTTCAGTTGGAGCCTCTGTGGAGGACTTGGGAGGGCGTCTCTCACTTAAATTACTGATAAAGGCTTCTGAGGTTTGAGATTAGGGCCCTTCTTAGAACCTGAGGCCTTCCGGGAGCTTTTGCTGAATTCGTAGTTATATTTGATGAAGATAGTCCGTGGAGTGACCAGAATGAACAAAGTGATAAAACCAGTGGATGCAGTAAGCGAGGAGAGGGCAAGTAGTGCTTAGAATGGCTGTTTCCTGAAGCCCAAGTCAGGACAGAGGTTCTGACAAGGACAATACTGATGGGACAGTGAGGTGAACCTTTGAGATTGAGACTGCTCCAGAAAGCCAGGGATGTTTGCCTGCTATGGAAATGCCATATTGCAGAGAAAATATTAACATTCTATAGCCATGCTGAGAAATGTGCTAGTCAGGTTGATTGAAGTGGGAATACACTTAATGTATTCTAAATACACCAGATTTTGAAAGGACTTAGTATGAAAAAAAATGTAAGATATCATTTTTTATGTTGATTACATGTTGATTTTGGATATATTGGATCAAATAAAATATGTTATTAAAATTAATTTTACCTGTTCCTTTTTAGTCTTTTTAATGTGGCAACTAGAAAATTTTAAATTACATAGGTGGCTCGCATCGTATGTCTACTGCTCAGCACTGTGGTTAAAGGCAGGCCTCCATGTTGTTAGTATGGCTCAGATGCCTAACTCTTCAGCACACGCTGACAGCCTGGCCTTGCACCCAGAGTGCCAGTGCTCAGATCTTTGTTCTACAGATTACTCCGTGAACCCGAGAAGTTTCCCAAACTCTCTGCTTCCCGCTAGTCTGTAAGCCCCTCGTGTCCCCACTTCCTTCCCTGACCAGCTTGGATGCCAGGTTCCTTCGCCTCAGCCTCTAACCTGCACATTCCTCTACTCCTTGTTCCGTATGGTAACCACCTGCATCCACAAAAAAGTCCTCTAGATGTCTAGAAACCAAAGTTACCTTCCTCTCCAAAGCTGCCTTTCCTCTCGTCACTTCTCTCAGAGAGTAGGACCGTTGTATGAACCCCTTTGCTGAAGCCAGAGACACGGGTCAGTCTTGACTCCCTGTGATGACAACAGTAATAAATAGCTAATATCTGTTGTTTACTGCATACTGGGCACTGTGCCACATGCTTTACCTGTGTGTTTAATTTACTCGTCACAATGTTTCCATGAGGGAGGTATTATTTTTCTTGCCATTTTACAGGTGAAGAAGCTGAGGTGCAGAGAGCTTGAGTGACTCACACAAGGTCAAACAGCCAGATGGCAGAGCTAGATGGTACTGACCCTGTCAGTCCCAACTTCAGAACCGGCCCTCCTCACATGCTCCCCAAATCCAACCAGTCACCACACCCTGTAGACGTGTAAAAATATCTTCAATCCTTCTCACCCTCCTTTATCCACTCTACCCTCACCCTAGTTCACCCTAGTTCCCCTCTCGCCTTGAGCACCAAACAGCGTTCTAACTGTCTCTCTATCTGTGGTCGTGCTGGCCTCTAGTCCTCTCCTTTCACTCTGTGGCTGGAGTGGATCATTGAAAAACGCAAATCTGACCATAGCACTCCCCAACCTAAAGCCCTCTTAAGCCTGCCTTGCTGCCAAGTCCCTATTCTACTTTGTAATCTAGATCCTGCTACCTCTCCACTTTGTTTCTCAGCACTCCTTCCTCTGCTCCACGAGGTCCCTGCTCCAGCGATGTCCTGCAGCCTTTCTGCTCCCTGGCCTGCCCTAAGCCCCAGGCCAGGCCCAGGCTGTTTTCTCTTCTTGGAATGTGGGAAGGTGAGGAAGATAGGTTTTGTCCCAGAATGTGGTTCTGCATTCTATGAACTAGGTGACTTTTGCAGCTCCCTTCCCTCTCTGTGCTTGAGTTTCTGCTCTGCAAAACCTAGAATGGGAGGGTTATTGGGAGGACTCAAGGAGATAATGCATATCAATTGCTTCAGGTGGTGGGGACTCACTGTTAGTGCTGCATCTTTGACAGTGGGGATGACAATGGGGATAGCTGTACCTGCCTAACTTCAGATGAATCCTTAGAAGATGTGTCCCTTGTCCAGCAGGTAGTGGGCATGCTCCATGGCTTCCTCTACCCGCCCCAAACCTCTGTCCTCCCATGAGCTATCTTCCACAGCCCTTCTACCAGCAATCTACATTGTAGGTTTTCTTTCCCCTTTCTTTTGAAGGATGTTTCTTTCACTCTTTGACTGCCATGATTCAGTAGACTGAGGGTAACCAAAAGACACTTTAAGCTCTCTGTCAAGACACAGATAACAGAAGTTGCTGGGATCCCATCAGGCAAGAATCAGACCAAACAGGAGGCTTACCCCCGGAGAAAAGGTGGAGAGAATTTCAGGATTGCAATGTGCTCAGCAAGTTGGGTTTAGGGAGGAATCTGAAACAATAGTTACAGTGCAAGTCTAAATTATTCATTAATGTCGAAGACAGTAATATATAATAGAACCTTGATTAACAAGAATCCAACTAACTGAAAGCTGAAAAAATCTATTTTACTCTTGTCCACATTCAACTTGTAGGAGAAAGAGGCAAATGGCAATAAAACAAGATGATAATCTTTTTTTTTTTTAATTAAAAGGATAAAGGGGATATCCTGGAATGAGTTTGGATTTAGTTAAATTCCTTCCTCTTTGTGATCATCCTCATTACTATGTAAGAACTAGTGTTCAGAATCAAAATCATGGGACATTTCATTCATGAAATAGAGATTCTTATTTTGGAATCATAACTTTGACTTAGAACTGGAGGAGGGAGGAGAAATGGACCTTTACAGCACTTGACGTACAGACTAGAGAGATTAGCTACCAGTGAAAGATGAAACAGAGGCTTTTTGGATTAATCCCTAGTTCCCCAGGACGCCTGTTTCTGGATGATGCTGCCGTATTGCTCTGTGTCCTGCAGAGCCCTGAGTTAGACGCTTCCCTGCCCTCTGGATGCTCAGTCCCTCTTGGCATTTTAAAACAAGACCCCGGTCTTACATCAGAAAGAAATGGCCCTTGGCCTGGTTCACATTATTCAGTTAAGTTGTGATTATGGGATTTGAAACCAGGCATGTGGACTTTCTGGCTCTGTGCAAAGGAGTCATTTCCACGTGGACCTTCTGAGCCGCCAGATCTTACGTTCCTGTTTAGGCTATCGAAGAACTTGGATACCCTTTTTTTAATGAATTTTTTTATTGAGGTCACATTGGTTTATAACATTATATAAATTTCAGGTGTACAACATTATATTTCGACTTGTATATAGACTACGTGGTGTTCATCACCAAAAGTCTAGTTGCCATCCGTCACTGGACGTATCTGCCCCTTGATCCCCTTCGCCTTCCTCCCTTCCCCTCTGGTAACCACCAGTCTGTTCTCTGTCTATGTGTTTGTTTGATGGTGGTGTTTTTTTATCTTCCACATATGAGTAAAGTCATACAATATTTGACTTTCTCCATCTGACTTATTTCGCTTGGCATAATACTCTCAAGGTCCATCCATGTTGTCACAAATGGCAAGATTTCATCTTTTTTATGGCTGAGTAGTGTAGATATATACCACATCTTCTTTATCCATTCACCCATTGATGAGTGGCTCCTTTGCCAAAATTCAATTTACTCATTCACTCAACAAATATTTATTAAGCTTTTACTCTACGTGTCTGTCCCTGTAGACGGTGGGGATATAGCAGTGAACCGAACAGACAGCAGTCGTTTGTGTCCTAATGGAGAGAGAGAGAGTAAACAAGTGAAGCATTTAGAGTACCGGAAGGGGGGAAGTGCTGGGAGGAGAATGGAGAGGGAGTGAGGCAGGCAGTGTTAGGTATGTGTATTTTACATTAGGTGGTCAGAGCAGACCATCTTGAGAAGAGGATATTAGATGATCTCAAGGAGGCAACAAGAGAGCGATGGTGTGAAATGTTGCCTACTTCAAAGGCTCATGTTTCTCCCAGAGCTCTTTGCCAACTAAATAACCAGTTGGCACTGAGTTGTTCTCTGCTCTTTTTATTAGGTTACATAAAAGTAATACCTTTAACTGAAGTGTTAGCATCAGGTAAAACACAAGGAGAGAAGCAGCTGCTGTTTGCAGGGTGCTGGGAGCTCCCACCTCTCGGGGCTCAGTCCCGTGCTGTGTTCCCCTGGGAGCCTCGCCAGTGACTCTAATGGTGGCACTAGCTGGTTCCTAACAGGACCAAACTCAAAAGGTACACAGTGGCACACCTGCCCCTAGCCACCCAGTGACACTCTTCGGAGGAACCTGTGTTACCTGTTTCTTTAACTCTCCCCGAGACGTTCTGTGCATATGCAGACTTGAAAGACCAACGGGTACTAACAGTGTATCTTGGTGGATTGCTTCACGTCGTCAGTACCTATAGAGTCACCTCATTCTTTTTTTTTTTTTTTTTTTGAGGAAGACCAGAGCTGAGCTAACATCCGATGCCAATCCTCCTCTTTTTGCTGAGAAAGATTGGCTCTGGGCTGACATTCATGCCCATCTTCCTCTACTTTATATGGGATGCCACCACAGCATGGCTTGACAAGCAGTGCATCAGTGCGCACCTGGGATCCGAACCTGTGAACCCAGAGCCACCCAAGCGGAGCACGCACACTTAACTGCTACACCACCAGGCCAGCCTCTTGCCTCATTCTTTTTAATCACTGCACAATATTTATAAAATAAATGCTCCATGATTGATTTGACTTGTTCCCCATTGATGGATGTGTAGGATATTTTGACTCTTTCGCTGGTATAAGCAGTGCCGCAGTGAACATCCTTAAATGTACGTTTTTGCACGCACATGTGGGAGAGTATGGTGTAAGTTAAGTTCATAGAGGTGGAATTGCTGGATCACAGGCAATGTGCATTTACATTTTGACTAGTGATCAAATTGCTTTCGGTTGCAATTGTACCAGTTTGCACACCCACTAATAGTGTAAGTGCCTCTTTTCCCGTAGCTCACCAACACGGTGTGTTATCAAACTCTGATCTTTGCCAATCCAGTAGATGAAAAATGTCATATCTTTGTAGTTTAAATTTGCATTCCTTCTGTTATGAGTGTGGTTATCTGTGATGTGTGTTGTTCCTAATTGGACTTTCTCAGTATTTTCTTTTCTGATAAGACTCTATCCCCTCTCTCTGTTTTCCAGGTGTGTGAATAATTGTGTTCTTATTTTCATATCATGCTGATATTCTGGTGGTTTATTCCTCAAAGCAATAATATTAAGAAATAACATATCCCATGTATAATGGATGCCCATAACTGCTTTCCACAGGTTATTTAAAGTGTTTTGGAATACCAGACATCATCAAGGGCTTTACCTGCATAGTTTGATCTTCAAGCTAAGATGTAGTTAGATGCCAAGGAATAACAATGTATAGCACGGATGTAGGAAAATATCATGTGAGATGAACACCCAGACCAAGAGGCCGGGAGGGAGGCCAGAATGGATTTTCGTAGTTAGCTTTCAGTTATTCCTAGCAAGGAAGAAATGATCAGACCAGGGTAATGCAATAAGTCCTCTTATCTGGATACTTGGATGTAGTCAGTCCCTCCCTGCAGTCAACCTGCTTGTTCTGACCCTAGGACCCATTGGGTTCTTCTGCTTAGTCAGGAGTCCAAGAGCTAAAGGGAGGAAACTCCTAGCACCTAAGAGCGATATGTACTCTGAAAAGCTTATCAGGAAAAGAAGCCTGGTGAACTCAGCACCCTGCCCCTTTGCTGAACCATCAATGAACCTGAGAGCTGCTTGTGTTTTCTAGCTGCGGTTGGGTTTCTGGCTGTGTCCAGTGTCATCACCATGTCTGCGCCCTTCTTCCTGGGGAAGATAATCGACATCATTTACACAAACCCCACCGTGGACTTCAGGTATGACCTGACCCGCCTCTGCGTGGCGCTCAGCGGTGTGTTCCTGTGTGGTGCTGCTGCAAACGCTGTTCGTGTCTACCTCATGCAAACCTCGGGTAAGAAAGCCCCTCGTCTTGGCTGAGTGCGCCATCCCAGAGGACACATACGGGAGTCATGTGGGTTTGTTTGGGCCTTGAGTTTCATGTGCTCCAGGCCCCAGTCTTTTCCTCTCTTCCTTGCATCACAGTGGGGACAAAGCCCAGCATCTGGCCAGATGTTGGAGCTATGAATTGCTTTAGATCACGCACTCTCTTCTCAACTCTCCTTTCACAGGGACTGGAGTTGAGCTGAGGGGGAAATAAGCTATTTGTCTTATGGGAGGTTAGAGAACAGGGCCCTTGGTCAGGAGGCTGGAGATCTGGGCCTTGTTCAGGGAGCCGCAGAAACTGTTTATCTACTCCATGCTTGTGTTTCCCTGTAGGAGGAGCTGGGATGATACCTTTATGGTGTCTCCATGTTGAGGCCTAGTTGTTAACACTCAGGTGACCACCACAACGATGATGGGGCCTGGATGCCCAACTCTAAGTTGGTTACTCACCATTTGCCTAATAAAATACTCTGTGGATAATTATCCAGGTCTTGCCATTTGAAAGTTCAATACAGAAAAGGATTGCCAAGGAGGAGCAAAATTAGCTTTTGAGAAGTTAATGTAGTAAAACTTTTTTGTAAATAATGCTGTTTAAAAATCTCTCGGTCATGTTTATATTTATTTCATCACTGTGTCCTCCCCTCAACATCTGCAGTCTGTAGTTACTAAGAGAGAGTTAGTGCTTGTTCCTCGTACATACCTTTCAGTGTGCCAGGGCTCCAGTGAGTCTGTTCCCACGAGATCGACACAGGGCACCAGACGTGCCTCAGAGGCTGCAGCGCTCAGAAGGGGTGCTGACATTGGGCCAAGCTGCTGTCCCCAAGCTGACGCTGTTCCTGTTTGCTTTTGCAGGTCAGCGCATTGTGAATAGGTTGAGAGCTTCATTATTCTCCTCCATTCTGAGGCAGGAGCTTGCTTTCTTTGACAAGACTCGCACAGGAGAATTGATTAACCGCCTCTCCTCAGACACTGCACTCCTGGGACGCTCGGTGACTGAAAACCTCTCAGATGGGCTCAGGGCCGGGGCCCAAGCTTCCGTCGGCATTGGCATGATGGTATGTCTGCCCAGCTTCCGTTGGTACCTTCTGGTCAGGGCTTGGCCTGCGCCAGGTCTCTCAGGCATGAGATGAGCTCAAGGTGAGCTGTTCTCATCACTCTGTAAGCCTGTTAGCCAAGAGCACTGCCACAGAGGCTGCAGGGACGTGGAGATTGCTTCTTCCTGTGTGGCCTCCTACACCTTCATTTCTCCAGAATGAATTCTTATCTGGAGAGTGGACCATTGCATTTAGAAAAGATTACCCTCTTGCCTGGGTTTTCTGAGAATGTGTGAAGACAGAAAAGAGCAACAGGTGGAAGGAGCCCTGTGGGTGCTGAGCAGCAGGTTAGAGGAAAGAGAGGAAGTTACACCCCCCGAAAAAGGCAGTGAAGCTACCATTGCTCAGGAAGTTACACCCCCCGAAAAAGGCAGTGAAGCTACCATTGCTATCGTGACAGCACCAGGGGATCATTTCCTTTCCTCTTCTTGTAAGAAGGAGAATCAGTTCCATCCTCCGTACATATGAGTAGATCTGTACTCCTTTGAAGTGAGCTCTCTCCACTCCCACAGCCTTGTTCCTTCCTTGACTGAGTGGCGTAAGCACTGTCACGTCTGCTTGCCTCACTTCTTCTAACTGCGTTTCCCTTCAGACCAGTGGTGCTGCCCAGGAGAAATGTCATGCAAGCAACACATATAATTTTAAATTTTCTAGTAGCCACATTTTAAAAAGCAAAAAGAAAGATGAGATGAGATTAATTTTAATAATATATTTTACTTAACCTAATATAAGAAAAATATTATCTGTTCAACATATAATTAATATAAAAATTATTAATTAGATATTTTATATTATTTTTTCATAGTAAGATTTCAAAATCTGGTGTATGTTTACACTTATGCAACATCCCAATCCACGTGCTAAATTTTCAATGGAAATACTTTATCTATATTTAGACTTCATAAAATTTGCAGTTGAAAAAGTAGATGGCCAAACCAAGTTTTCCAGACATACCTAAAAGTTTACCAATCACTGAATGGAAATGGAGTATCGGTTTTTAAATTTGAATTTTAATTAATTAAAACTAAATAAAATTTAAAATTCAGTTCCTCAGTCGCACATTTCAAGTGCTCAATAGCTATCTATATGAGACTGTCATTTTAGACAGTGCAGTTCCAGACCCCTAGAATGAGGACTGCAGCTAATCCTTTCTCACAGATGGAAAAGCTTAGGTTTTCATCCTCTCTGTGTCCCATGTAGCATTCAGTCTAGCACAGAAGGACATGTCAGCCTGTAAGATCTGACTTATGAAATGGAAAACACCTTTGAAATCTCATATATTCCTAGCCAAGAGAGGAGCAAAGCCCTGGAAGAAGACCTCTCCTGCACTAAAGCACCGTTTCCAAATATTAATGGTTCTGGGGCTCAGGAATTGTTGGAAGACTCTTTTTGTAACAGTTAAAGAGAGTTCAGTGTAGGTCAGATGGCTAATCAGAGGGGGCCTGTCTTAGTCAGCTTGCACTGCTGTAACGAAGTACCACAGACTAGGGGGCTTATTTCTTACAGTACTGGAGGGTGGAAGTCCAAGATCAAGGTGCTAACAAAGTAGATTCATTCCAAGCCCTCTTCTCTTGGCTTGTAGGTAGCCACCATCTTGCTGTGTGCTCACATGGCCTTTCCTTGGTGCTTGTGTGGAAAGAGCGGGTTCTTTGATGTCTCCTCTTACAAGGACACTAATGCTATCAGATCAGGGCCCCACCTTTATAACCTCATTTCACCTTAATTACTTCCTTAGAGGCCCCGTCTACAAATACAGCCACACTGGGGTTAAGGCTTCAGCATATGAATATGGGGGAGACACAAATATTCAGCCCATAACAGGGCCTCATGAGGTGGCACCACTCGGGACCTGGTCATTAGCTCTGGAGGAACAGACATATTCTTTGTTTCTCATAAGCTCCCTGGACCTGACTTGTAGTAGGCCTACTCACAAGAACCTAATAATCTATATTATTAGTCTATACCATACTGCTAGTTTAGTAATTTACGTTGTAGGATCTTCCTTCCTACCCTTATGATGAGTTCCTGCTATTCCAGCACTCCTCTCTGGTGACAGGGCCCTGAATTAGTCTTCAGAAAGTGATTCCTAAGCAGGGAACCAGAGCACAGGGAGATGGGTGGTTCTGAGACAGTCCACCCAGGTCCTGGGGAACCCGTTGGATGTTCCTCCCCACCACAGAGGACACCCCATGTGATAGTTTACTTGAGCTGTGTTGTATTCAGGTCCCAGAATGTAGGCCTGCCTTTATTGCATCGTTGCCCTGCATGTGTCCTGCTGGTGACCATCATCCAGTGCCCTGGACTACATGGGTTGTCTGCTCAGGGAGGATTGTTCCATAAGCCGAAGGGGCCAAGTTCATTCCTGCCTCAGGGCCTTTGTGCACTTGCTCTTGCAAGACCACGTCACACCTGAGGTTATTCTCTCTCTCTTTTACCTGTTTGCTATCTAACTCCCACCTCTCCTCTCCTCTGGGGTGAAACTGCACAGGGGTCAGTGATCTCCCCTGTGCCTAGAATAGTGTTTGCTGCATTGGGGCATTCAGGAACGAGTGATTGAATGAGTAAATGAGTGAATGATTGGTTGCTTCATCCATTACTTTGCATTTCAGTCTGCAACTTTTCCTCAGCATTTTCTGTGCAAATGACATTTGGCAGATTTTAATATGTTGAAGAGATGCTTATACCATTTAAAATACAATCACCAAATTGCAAGATTGACGGGAAAACCCCACTATGTTACTTCTGGAAGTTGCTTTTTTCCTCTTTGAGCAGCTCCAAGTGTTAGGAGCCTCCTGCTTATGTTGAGTCCAGATCCTTCCTCTGAGACTTCAGTTCTCTGAGCCATGCAGACAGCTCCAGCTCTTCTTCCACTTGTTAGTTATGCCCCACCTCTGCCAAGTCCTCTTTCAGCTATTTGTGTTATGATGTGGGGTTTTTGGTCTCTTTGCCATCTTGGTCACTTCGTTGGGACACATTGCTCTGGTTGTTCAGTGCCCCTGAGGTGATCCAGGCTTGAATACAGAATTCCTGGTGTGGTCTGGCCAGTGTGGAGCAGAATGGGCCTTCTTCCTTCACACCTCTCCAACCTCCCCCTTCTCTGTTGTTGAACAGCCTGGTCTGACGTGCACAGCATTGGTAAATCATGGTACTAGCAATGGTATAGCGTCGGAGGGTAAAATATTTCCACCCCTTCGTCAGCCACTCTCTGTCACATTGCTCCTGTGTAGCATGCTGAATATTCATGGAGTTTTATGAAGATTGAAGATATCTGAAAAGTTCCACCAAAACAGGATGTGCAGCTTTGAGACAGCACCTTCAAGCCAGCCTATTAATTTAAACACACACACACCTTGACAATAGGTAAGGAGAATTTCTTGCTTCTCTGTGTAACAAACACCTTTTGGCTTTTGTTTTTGACAGTTTTTTGTCTCACCTCATCTGGCCACTTTCGTTTTGAGCGTGGTACCTCCAATATCCATCCTCGCTGTGATTTATGGACGATATCTACGAAAACTGACCAAAGTCACACAGGATTCCCTGGCACAAGCCGCTCAGGTAAAGGCCCCTCCCCACCCTCATGGTCTCTACTAGACTGAGCTCAGAGCCAGGGTACCAGTGGGCAGACCCTGAGGATGTGCTTAGGCTTTTCAAAAAGTACCTACTTTTCCTTACATTAGACTGCAAGATCCTAGAAACCTAAAATACTCTGCCTTCTAGACTAGGTTACTACTCACACCTCTGAGTAGATCTAACCTGACTGAACATTGTATGAACATCTTACTTTTTATCATTGCTGTTTCTTATAGGATGAAAAAGCTAATTATATTTTGAAAATAGTTTCAGGATGACACTCTAGCTTTCATTAATTAATAAAGGTAGCTTTGCAATGCTGTCCAATATTGTCTTTTTAAAAATTAAAAATGTTGTATTTTCATGTTACAGAAACCATGCATGTTTATAATTGAAAATTTGAATATATTAAAAAAAAACACACATAATCCTGTCTCAGAATTAATGTTATTAACATTTTGGAGTCTGTCCTTTTTATCTATCTGTTTTTTCTGCATAAAAATTTGTTTCTGGGGGCCGGCCTGGTGGCATAGTGGTTAAGTTCGTGTGGTCTGCTTTGGCAGTCCAGGGTTTGCAGGTTTGGATCCCGGGCGCAGACCTACCCACTGCTTATCAAGCCATGCTGTGGCAGGCATCCCACATATAAAATAGAGGAAGATGGGCACAGATGTTAACTCAGGGCCAATCTTCCTCAGCAAAAGGAGGAGGATTGGCAATGGATGTTAGCTCAGGGCCAATCTTCCTTCCTTCCTTCCAAAAAAAAAAAAATGTATATATTTCTGCATCTATCTACCTACCGTTCTGTTTATCTTTCTATCTACATATATATATATATATATATATATGTGTGTGTATTCTGTGTGTATAGACAGATATTTGTTTCCATAAATCGGATAGCTCTGCATATTCTGTAACCTGTTTTTGACTTAGTCATGTATCACGAGCCCATTTCCATTGACAGTGTCTTAAAAATGAGAACCACATTTTAATTTTGTCTTTGGAAATCTTGAAATGTGACCTGGGGCCGGCCCGGTGGCGCAAGCGGTTAAGTGCACGCATTCCACTGTGGCGGCCCAGGGTTCACCGGCCCGGATCCCGGGCGTGCACCGACACACTGCTTGGCAAGCCATGCTGTGGCAGTGTCCCATATAAAGTGGAAGAAGATGGGCATGGATGTTAGCCCAGGGCCAGTCTTCCTCAGCAAAAAAAATGGGGAGAATTGGCAGATATTAGCACAGGGCTGATCTTCCTCACAAAAAAAAAAAAAAAAGAAATCTTGAAATGTGACCTTCCTCCTCCTGAAATGTATTTACTATTCTCCCAGCTAGCTGAGGAACGTATTGGAAATATAAGAACTGTTCGAGCTTTTGGGAAAGAAATGACTGAAATAGAAAAGTACACCAGCAAAGTGGACCAGGTGATGCAATTAGCAAGGAAAGAGGCCTTTGCTCGGGCTGGCTTCTTCGGAGCAGTAAGTAGATCATTTTGGAAAGAGTGAAAAGGGTAAATGTTATGATTGGGAGAGATTTTTATTCTGTGACTGTTGCTATAAATAGAAAATAATTCTGTTCTACTTCAAGACTAAGAATTACCTCCCTTAAAATATTTTTGTGAAAGAGGAGGAAACAAGTAAATGTAATTAAAGAAAAGACTGTGGGTGGTGAGACCAAAACAGTATGGGATGAGGCACTGATTCCAGACCACCTGCCTCTGCTTCACCTGGGAGCTGGTTAGACAGGCCAGTTCTCAGCTCCCCTCCAGACCTGCTAAACTGGAGACCCTGGGGTGGGGCCAGCAATCTGAGTTTTAACAGGCCCTCCAGGTCATTCTGATGCAGGCAGTTTGAGACCCATTGAGGATTAACCGAAATACTCAGTGTATTTCAAGAAGGAAGTATAAAAAATTGATCACAATGAACTCAAATAGGACACTGAACTAGAAAATCACCACAAGGGCAAATTCATAATATGTTCAAACTGGAAAGAGCTGTAGAGGTGATTCGATAATGGCCATGATTATTGAATGGGTGAACTGTGTATGCTTTTTTTTTAGTTTAAATAAACTAAATAAAAATTTTAAAAAAAGAGAGAGAAAAGAAAAACATGGCTGCGCAGTGCATAGGAACCACGAACGTTTTTCTCTGAAAGAGGCTGGGAGATGGCAAGCATTCAGAGATTGTTAGACTTCTCTCCAAAAACAATGTTAGTGACCTCAGAGTTTGGGAAATAATTTTTTACTTCCTGATTTTTAAAACTGGGATGTCTATAGGTGCTTGTTACAAATGGGTTTTAGTTACCATTCACAAAGTATTCTTAAGAGAAAAAAAAATTATGAAATGTCCAAAAATAAAGAAAGAAAGAAACTTTGGGAAGTTGTAGGCTGGTCATGATGGCCTGTAGTCTAATCATAGACACTAAGTACAGACAAGGATATGCAAATCACTGAAGGAAAGTCTTCAAGGCCAGAGGCCTTTATGGTACTTCCAGTTGTGTAAAGCAACACACTGCAATTCCCAAGCCTTGAGCCATCCATGAAAATTAGCCTGCATAGCTTCCAGGACACTGAGTTGAATTCAGAAACCATTAGATAAATGTTTACTCTCTTTCATAGAGGAGATCTAGGAAAGGAGAAGTCCTCTGTAGTGTAGCACAGACACAAACTGACTTCTCTTTAATGGGAGGCAAAGAGCCTGTTACACTGTGTATTTTTTATGTCAGATAATCATAGGTTCAGCCACTGGATTAGTCATAGCATGAGTTTCATAATCACCGAGCAATTGACACAGAGCTTTAAACGGTCCTTTCTCCCTGGAAGCCAGTTTATTGCCAGAATTAAGTGAACTGTCACTTTCAAAATAATAATAATAGTAATGGCCATGATTTAACAAATAAGGAAACAGAGGCCCAGAGAAGACAGCACTTACCAGAGACCACGCACCTAACAAAGGTCAAAGCAGATAGAGATATAAGGCTTTAACTTCTCACTCCAGTCTCTGCTCAGCGCGTCACATTAGAATATATAAACACAGGGGCTGGTCCCGTGGCTTAGCGGTTAAGTGCGCGCGCTCCGCTGCTGGCGGCCCGGGTTCGGATCCCAGGTGCGCACCGACGCACCGCTTCTCTGGCCGTGCTGAGGCCGCGTCCCACATACAGCAACTAGAAGGATGTGCAGCTATGACATACAACTATCTACTGGGGCTTTGGGGGGAAAAAAAAAGAACAATATATAAGCACATATACCAGATATATATCTGTTTCCTCTAGTTAGAGAAGGAATCCTTAATATTATTTTTCTCCATTGCAAACTGAGTAGATTGAGTAAAATAGGAATCTGATGGGTGACTTAGCTTCTAGGTTTTCATGTTGATGAGATTATTTCCTTCAATATTGCAATATTTCAAAAGTATTTTTTTATTTTAAATTTAGATTAAAACTTAATATTTTAGAGAAATCTTGCTGTGATAGTTAAATGCGCAAAGGAAATTATAGGCCATGTTAATGCTTTTTGCTTTTTGGGACTTTTGTTCCCACCTAACTTCTGTGTTTTCTTCATTTGACAGACTGGGCTCTCCGGGAACCTAATTGTGCTTTCCGTCCTGTACAAAGGAGGGCTGCTGATGGGCAGTGCCCACATGACAGTGGGTGAACTCTCTTCCTTCCTCATGTATGCTTTCTGGGTTGGAGTAAGCATCGGAGGTATATAATTTAAATAGGCTGAAAACTGAACTTTCGCATTACTCCACCTCTCGTCAGTTAACTTCAACTGAAAAAACATTTCCTAGAATGTTATTCCAACCTGACTTTGAAAGAAAAAATAAAGGCATGAGTGTGATCCTCCCGCATAGGTGAGCAGTTTCTTGGTTGGGAAGTTGAGGATTTTTGCAGGCCTCTTGTAGCTCGCTGAGCTCAGGGTCGTGCTGGAGCAGTATTTTCCAACCTGCATGTTAAGGCAGCTTGTTCCTTCTGGTCATAGAACAGATGCAGGGAGGAGGAAGGATGGTGCCTAGCAGGTGCATACAGGAAACCCGCAGTCCCATGGTGGGGATAGTTCCATGATTGACAAATCACTGGGGAATGAAATTCCTTTTGTACAAAGTCAACCATGTTCAAAACTAGTGAACAATCAAGAAGTATTTATTATAAAGTGCATGAAATAGAGTTGCTTGCTTTTGTCAGTAATCTCTCAGAGTTCAGCTTTTATTGTCCATTCCTGGATGAAGGGAAGCAGGATCCATGGAGGCAAGGCTGTGTGAAGTCTGTGGAGTTCTCTTTTCTGTACCTTTCCTGTGGCCTAGCCAACAAGGGGCAAATGATTTCCTGCTTTTTGTTATCCTCCCTTTTGAAAATTAAGACACAAAGGTTAGATAAATAGCTTGAAATCTGATGAACGGAACTTGGAACTCAGGTATCCCACGGTGTCACCTCAACCCGAGATTTTTATTTTCAGGGTTATGTGTCTACTGGTTAAAGGCAGAGGCATTTCCTTAGACATCTGCAGGCAAACGACAGTATTTTCTGCACTGAGATTTCCAGAGATCCCTAAAAATAGCACTTTAGTTCTGCTGGCTGGTCTTGAAGAACAACCTGATTAAGACATTTCAGGGTGCTAAGTGATTTGGGAAGTGAGAGGGTCAGTTCAGGAGGACCCCACGATGACCATGTTGCTCTTTTCTCTCCGTGCCCTGGGTTGAGGCTGCTGGGCTGTAGGGTCCCACACCTGTGTGGTCATGTTCCTTTAGGTCTTCTGTCCTGCCTCTGAGTGGACTTGCCTGCCACCACTTCCCTTTCTGGCCTTTCTGTTCACATTCCACGCTTGACCAGTCAGCTCTCCTCCCTGGCCTCCCCTAATCTTGTGTTTTCTGCCACAGTTGACTTGATCTTGCTTAGTCCCTCCCCTCCCCCACCTGCTTTTTTCCATACTCCTTGACCTGAAAGAAGCCACCTCTGTCTGCCCTCGCTTTTGTCCTGACAGGTTCGCAACTGTGTCTTGCACAGAAATAGGTTGGAAACACAGTTCTAGTCCTCTGGTTACAGAAGGTGCTGCTGAGGCCTTCTGTGTGCAAGATTTTGGGGTAACTCGACTTTCTTAGCCACAGGCTCTCGTACAACTCTGGGCAACTGTCTTTACCATACCTGCCTTGTGGTAATGGAGGGAGGAGTACAAGTGTGGGTAGATCGGTAGGGACTGTTAACACCAGAGTTTACACCATCACGTTTACAACCTACACAGGTACCTGAGGCTGTGGGAATTTATTTCAACAAGTTGAGTTGGATTTTAAATGCTGCTGTGAAGCTGTTTAATTCTGTGATAAATCTGCAAGCAAGAAATCCTATTTTGGGGCCGGCCCTGTGGCGTAGCGGTTAAATGCTCAAGCTCCGCTGCTGAGGGCCCGGGTTCGGATCCCGGGCGCGCACCAAGGCACTGCTCGGGCCATGCTGTGGCGGTGTCCCATATAAAGTGGAGGAAGATAGGCACAGATGTTAGCTCAGGGCCAGTCTTCTTCAGCAAAAAGAGGAGGATTGGCATGGATGTTAGCTCAGGGCTGATCTTCCTCACACACACACAAAAAAAGAAATCCTATTGTATTTATTAAATAAATAAGAATTTTTATAGGTTGGTCTCTGCTTAGAACAACATACTGAAAAAAAACAAATTCTATGTACATTCTCTCCTGAGAGACGGTCAGAAGTGCTGTTTGAAAAAAAGCACACTTAGTTACTTTGTACCAGAGAATGCTCTTACATCTTCCTGTTGAACCCCCTTGTCTTTTTTTCTTATTTTTTTATTAAGGAGAAATTCACATAACATGAAAGTAACCATTTAAAGGTAACATTTATAGTGTTGTGCAACCACTACCTCTATTTATGTTCATTATCCCAAAAGAAAACCCCATAATTGTCAAGCAGTCTATCTCCATTACCCCTCCCTCCTCCAGCCCCTAGCAATCACAATTTGCTTTCTGTCTCTGTGTACTTATTCAAAGTATTTCATATAAGTGGAACCATATAATATAAGGCTTTTGTGTGTTTGGCTTCTTTCATTTAGCATGTTTTAAAAGTTCACCCACATTGTAACATGGATTGGTACTTCATTCCTTTTTATGGCTGAATAATATTCCATTGTATAAATAGGCCACATTTTGTTAATTCAGGGCCATTTTGTTTTTGTTTTTCAGAGTCTAAACGCTTTACTATGTTGAACTGCTTCTAATTCTTTCCCATCCCTTCACTTCTTTCTTTCTTTTTTAAATTAATAGACTTTTTTTTTGAAGAGGAATTTTAGGTTCACAACAAAATTGAGCAGAAAGCACAGATTTCCCACATACTCCATGCCCCTACACGAGCATAGCTTCCCCCACTATCAACATCCTCACCACAATGGTGCATTTGTTACACTTGATGAACCTACACTAACACATCATCACCCGGAGTCCATAGTTTACATTAGGGCGCACTCTAGTGTTGTATATTCTATGGGTTTAGACACATGTATGACAGGTATCCACCATTATAGTATCATACAGAAGAGTTTCACTGCCCTAAAAATGTTCAGCACTCTGCCTATTCATCCTTCCCTCCCCTTAACTCCCAGCAACCAATGATCTTTTTCACTGTCTCCATAGTTTTGACTTTTCCCGAATGTCATATAATGGGGATCATATAGTATGCAGCCTTGCAGATGGGCTTCTTTCACTTAGTAATATATTCAAGGTTCCTCCATGTCTTTTCATCACTTGATAGCTCATTTGTTTTTGGCACCAATATTCCATTGTCTGATGTACCACAGTTTATTTATCCATTCACCTAGTGAAGGACATCTTGGTTGCTTCCAAGTTTTGACAATTATGAATAAAGCTGCTGTAAACATCCATATGCAGGTTTTTGTCTGAAAATACATTTCAGCTCCTTTGTATAAACACAAAGGAGCGAGATTGCTGGATCATATGGTAAGAGTATGTTTAGTTTTGTAGGAAACTGCCAAACTGTCTTCCAAAGTGGCTGTACTGTTTTGCATTCCCACCATCAATGAATGAGGGTGCTTGTTGCTCCCACATCCTTACCAGCTTTTCGTGTTGTCAGGGTTTTGGATTTTTGTTGTTGTAATAGGTGTGTAGTGGTATCTTGTTGTTTTAATTTGCAGTTCCCTAAGGACATACGATGCAGAGCTTCTTTTCATATGCTGTTTGCCATCTATATATCTTCTTTGGTGAGGTGTCTGTTCAGGTCTTTTGCCCATTTTGTAATCAGATTGTTTTCTTATTGTTCAGTTTTCAGAATTCTTTGTATATTTTAGATACCAGTCTCTTATCAAACGTCTTTTGCAAATATTTTCTCCCAGTCTGTGTCTTGCCTTCTCATTCTCTTGACAGTGTCTTTCGCAGAGCAGAAGTTTTTAAATGTAATGAAGTCTAACTTATCAGTTTTTCCTTTCATGGATCGTGCTTTCGTTATTATGTCTAAAAAGTCATCACTGAACCCACGGTCATTTAGGTTTTCTCCTATGTTGTCTTCTAGGAGTTTTATAGTTCTGTGTTGTACATTTAAGTCTATGATTCATTTTGAGTTAGTTTTTGAGAAGGGTGTAAGATCTGTGTCTAGATTCATTTTTCGCCTGTGGCTGTCCAGTTCTTCCAGCTCCGTTTGTTGAAAAGACTGTCCTTGCTCCATTGTGTTGCCTTTGCTCTTTTGTCAAAGATCAGTTGACTATATTTATGTGGGTCTGTCCCTGCCCAATGCATTTTTAATTCAATCTGAAGGTTTCAGTCCACTGTATCTTGCACAAATATCCATGAATATATGCACAAATATACCTTAGAAAGAATATTTGAATTGTATTGTTTCAGCTTCCTCACTGACGGAAAGTGTTATAAATGTATGTTCTGACAGTTGATATGGACCAGTGTACTTGGAGTTTGTTTGTTTTAAGTCATTAATTAAATCACAGTTCAAAGGTGACTTTAAGAAGAGATTGTTGGAATATTTAACATTACCAAATTCCTTTTCAGTTTTTAGGATAGTGAAAGTTGTATTTGTTGAGTGCCTGAAAGGGAGGTTTGATTTTGTGGATATGAATTTAAAATGAATATTGGGATATTTTATATTCCTTTAAAGTATGGAATGAGCATTATATTTTATTTGTATTGCTATGTTTTTGACTAGGTAGACTTTCTCTGTAACACTGTGATTTTAATTCAGTGGTTGATTAGTATGACTATATGCATTTGTAAATTCCCTGATCAAACATTAAATCCTTATTAGAAATCAATGAAATTGGAGGAGGAGAAGCTAGAGGAAAATAAGGGTATGAGACAGAAGGAATTCTGAATATGGATTCCCAGGTAGCTGCCTCAAATCCTTTTTTGGAAATAACCAATTTTATATTAAAAGCAAGTTATTGTTACTGTTCCCAGAGGGATGGGAGCGCCAGGTGGCAGTTCCCTGGTACTAGTGATGGATGTGTTTATGGCTTTGCTTCTTGTTCTCAGGTCTGAGCTCTTTCTACTCGGAGCTGATGAAAGGATTGGGTGCTGGGGGACGCCTCTGGGAGCTCCTTGAGAGAGAGCCTGAGGTTCCTTTTAATGGTAGGTCTGAAATGGGTTTGTTCTTTGCTGGGATTAAACAAATGTGGCTTTGGACAGGTAGACCAGCTCCCTGCCCTACCTGTGAAGGACGAAAATGACGAGGATGTCATCCCTGCCACATGGCAGGGACAGGGTCATCAGAGGGGCAGGCAGTGAGGGAGGAAAGACAGTTTCCGGGCGCTGCTGCAGGGCCTGAGGATGTCCCTGGAAGCGTGGAGGCTGACCACGCAGTGTGCTGTCCACTGTTTACCCCCTGCAGGTGATTTGTTACCACCGATGGCAGGAGGGAAGCGAATGCAGTCCAGGGGTGCAAATAGGAAGGGTCCGGCCAGTCCACCAGCTTTGTCTTCCTTAGTGACCCTGATGTTTTTGGTTAGGAGGGAGTGTGGCAGGAGGAAAGAAAGAGGGATCACACATATCAAAGCCTCTAAATTTCTTGGCTTTTGGGGGTGGGGTGAGGGAGGCTGGTACTAACCGGCTAGAGCTGGCTCCTTTATCAACAGCTTCCCTGGAAGGTAGTAGTCGGAGCTGTGTGGCCTGGGCCAAGGAGTGCAGGCTCAGGAGAAGTGGCTGTGAGCAGCGACCACTGCCAGCCACTCACTGACTCCCAGGACATTGTCGGTCAGCCCAGGTCAATAAGTGAACACCCAGTATTCTCCAGTATGATAGGCTGGAGGAAATAAGCCCAACTGAGTGAGATTGAGCAGCTTCTTGCCAAGTCAGTAGTGAGGTAACACTGGGACAGAACAGACCTCTGACCCCCTCTAGCTCCGTGGCAGTTGTGCAACGCCCACCTGTTTATCATCATTCTCTGAGGACATTTATTTAGAGTAGATAAGATAAACCCTGGACCAAGGGAGTTACAGAGGCAGTGGCATAGGGAGAAGGCGCTTGGGTTTGAAGCCTGGCTGCTGCAAGGCTGGAAGCTGCCTCCACTGCTCGTCAGCTTAGGCACGTTGTTGTCTCTGAGCCTCAGTGTCCTGTCAGTAAAATGTGGACAGTCACTTCTACCTCTCAGGTCTGGGAGAATCAAACAAGACCGCTTAGGTACAGTGCCTTGGACAGAGTTGGGGCAGGGCAGGCCCCGGTAAGTGTTAGACAGAGGCCCCTTCCTGACTTTCCCGTGAAGAGCTCATACTCCAGGACTAGCTGTGCTGGGGCCGTCACCTATGGTCAGACAAGTGGGAGAACTGAGTTCGGCTGGGAGTTTGATCTTTGCCTTAAGTAATAAGGGTTCCGTCTTGTTTCAGAGGGGGTCATTTTGAACAAGAAGAGTTTCCAGGGTTCTTTGGAGTTTAAGAATGTGCACTTCGCCTATCCAGCTCGCCCGGAGGTACCCATATTCCAGGATTTCAGCCTTTCTATCCCATCGGGATCCGTCACAGCACTGGTTGGCCCGAGTGGTTCTGGCAAGTCAACAGTGGTTTCCCTCCTGCTGAGACTGTATGACCCCATTTCTGGTGAGTGGTTCACCACATGGTAGGATGGGAGGACTCCCCTGAGCCCTTTTCCTCCTGTGTCCTGAGAGAGTATCATATTAGGCCAAGACCTTGTAATGCGAGAGTTCTGCGTGCCTGAGGGTTTCTTCCCAGGAAAGAAATCCCTTAAACAAGTGTCACCTTTAGGGGTATGACAGCTCGTACAGAAGCCCCGTCAGGCGTTTTGTATATTTCATGTCTGACCTCTTCAAGTCCAGAGTGACTTCCTGAATTCTACCTACTCATCTCCCATGCTGGTGTCTCCTTCTGATGCGCCCCCGTCCTGGGAAGGGGCGGGGGAGGCTGCTCAGCAACTACAAGAAGGTGCCTCCTGTGGAGTAAGTACCCCTCTGTGCCCACTACCAAGCTTGTGTGGGACCCGAGGAGCTCCCTAGAAGCCCTCTGACTGCTTCTGCCCGTGAGCTGCTCGGGCGTCTGTGCACAAACGGGTCATTTGGTGGTCAGTGATTCACTTCCGTGTGACTGCTCCATTGAAGCTACTTTGAGGTAGTGGAGATTTTCTTAATGGATTTTCCTCATTCTGGTTTTTATTTTATTTTTAATTGGATTATAGCATCTTTTTAGAGCAAAGAACATATTATTTTACTTCTTTATATCCTCTTTTTTATTGAGATATAATTATTATATTAGTTATATATATAGTTATATTGAGATATAAATATTATATTAGTTTCAAATTGTACAACATAATGATTCGATATTTGTATATATTGAGAAATGATCACCACGGTTTGTTAATAGCCGTTACTACACGTAGATACAAAGTTTATATCCTTCTTTATATCAGAGCCTGGAGTAGATATTCCATATATATTGATTTAATTTTGGATTGAGAAAACAATGATGTTGCTCAGAAAGAAAACAACTGTTAATAAAAATCAAATCATGAATTTAAAAAGAATATGTCTTTTGGTCTTTGTACCTGTGCTTTTTGGTTAAAACAATACGAGAGCTGGTTATGTGCTGGATAATTATTTGACTCACAGATTCTGACCCTCAGAATCACCAGCTGTGTTAAAATGGATGTTATTACACTGCCTCTGGAGTCACTGTCTTGGTTCACTCTCTATTTTCTAGAAAATTCTGAGTTTAGAAAAATCCTAGTGAGGAGGATGCAAATCAGATCCCACTATTGAGTCTGTAGTTTCTTCATCACAGTGAATAGATCAAGGAGGAAAGAAATGACACGTCAATTCCTGCCTGTAAGGCACTTGCACATTTAAGTCAAAGACCTCAAGTTTTTGCCAGTTTATGAAAATCTACAACTGGCTTGTATAATTCCACACTGATAACTGAAAAGAAATGGCATTTCCTATGTTAGTCACTATCGTCATCGTCACCAAGCATTGCTGAGTTCCCTCAGTGTGTAGAATTATTTCTGTTACCTAAGGTCACAGTTACATCTGGTTATTTAAAAGCTCTGCCGCAGTATCAGTCAGATTCTTGGTTGCAAGTAACAGATTCTCCACCTAAGTTTATGCAGGAAGGGATATTTTAAGGAGTAATAAAAGAGCTCAGAAATCACTGGCAGGGTTGAACTTCCAGGACACCTCCCAGAACTTCACCACAGAACCAAGCCTTCAAGGTAGTTGCTGATGCTGACATGATCAGGACGCTGCCGGATTAGGCAGCCACTGTCATGGGCACCAGCTTCAGAACTGTGACACCTCTGCCGATATTTGTGCCAGCAAGTGGACACCTCCCCTCATTTTGCCCCTCTCTCACCTCTCTTCCGAGTCAAAGCTTTGCACAGGTGCATCTTCTTGTGGAGCCTGAGTCACTCTAGGGACACTCTCTGCGACCTCTGCAGGAAGGGGATCTGGGTGGGTGAACCCGAGGGCTGGTCAGCTCGCCACTGCAGGGAGAGTAGACATGGACGATCCAGAAAGTCCCTTTTAGCTCTGAAATTCTGTGGAATATGTTGGTTTTAGATTCTGTTTGGAGATTTTGAGTATACTTTTATTCTTTAAAGAACTGAGTCTGGAATTTTCCCACCAGATCCTCTCTATGTTTACATTAGTCATTGGCCCCATGATGCTCAGTGACTCTCTCCTTTCCTCTCTCTAAGGAACTATCAGTCTCGATGGCCATGATATCCGTCAGCTAAATCCAGTCTGGCTGAGATCCAAGATTGGGACAGTGAATCAGGTAGGAGGAGAGGGCACCATTTCTGTGTTACTCTTTCTCTTAAAATTGCTTTTGTCATTTGTTTTCTTCTTGGTCTTGAACCTCTCAAAAAAAAGGAATGAGAATTTTCCAGATGTATTAAACCAATCTCACATGGCAGGTTATTTAGGTTTGTAAATAGTGCTGTTTCCCAAAGACCTTAAACACTTGAACCAGGTGAAGCACTGACTTTTTATCAAAAGCTGGGGACCAACATGATTTTGTAAGCAGGTAGTCTAGAGGATGGGGAGAAAATGATATAACTTGTTAGCTTCTACTGACTCTTCCCCAGTTCCCATTTTCATTACCAGCACAGTCTACTGTTTTGCATAATAGGTTTCAGGGACAAGTGAGCAAAGACTATGGCAAGAGCCAGAGTCTCCTTGCAAAGAGGTTGTGGATTTCAAGGCAGAATATCGATGTAATATGGTCGCTTTGATGAGGCTGTTTTCATAAGACCATTTGGTGCAGCGAAATTTTGACACGGCTGTTTATATTTTTCTTACCAGGCTATGTGCACAGCAGAGAAACCTGAACTCCCCTCATTTCTGAGCCTCTCCCTCTAATGAGCTTCCCCTCAGACCCTACCCTCCCCCCACTCCACTGGGTGAGGGGCCAGCAGGGCAGTTTTGGGGGTTGCTTCGTAGTGTAAGGATATCAGTGGTGCATATTATTTAGGGATGGAGAAAAGAAGCTGGAAGTTTATTTGCTTTTTAGGACCATTCCACAAGGTTCTGTCAGATGTCATGTTCTCATCTGGTTTGTGTCTATTTCAAAAAGTAATGGATAGAGTTGCATTCCCCCTTTGTCCTAAGTGGGAGGCAGGCAGCTGGAAAATGCAGATGGGCTTGGGGTCTTCCAGTGCCTTTCAATTCCTCAGGGAGGGAACTTGAATTACAAAGTGCCTACTGTATGCCAGGCACTGTGTGGGTACCTGCTGTGGGATCTCATGTCCTTCAGTGTGGTGGGAACTACAGATGAAGTCAATCCTGTTTGTGGTAAAATATGAATTTTTTAAAAGTCTACTGGGTGAATTTATGGAGAATGAGGAAGTAGAACCAAGAAAATAGTATATATTCTTTGGGAGCAATTTAATAGTTTCTTAGATGTAAGAACAGTACTAAGCTCCACTGTATTTATTAGACATACTTGAAGTCTGTTTTGAAATTTGCAATGAATATTTTTTATTTCCAATTTGTAGGAACCAATTTTGTTTTCTTGCTCGATTGCTGAGAACATTGCTTATGGTGCAGACGACCCTTCTTTGGTGACTGCTGAGCAGGTAGAGAAAGTGGCTGATGTAGCCAATGCCGCTGCTTTCATCCGAAATTTCCCTCAGGGATTCCATACGGTGGTTGGAGAAAAGGGCGTGCTCCTTTCAGGTACCTTTTTGTTACAGTTTTTTAGCAAAAACTCTGTACTCCAAAGAACTCTCCAAACATTTTATATTGCAGTATTATTTTCTAATTAGGCTCTTATCTCTAGAGTCGATGAAATTAGCCTTTCCCCTTTCTAAAATCCCTTTTGTGTGTGGACAGCTCTCCAGGTTCCTTCACTTTCTACCCTAGAAGTGTTCCCAGATTCCCGCTGAGTGTCCCGCTGAGTCATACTCAGCCACAGCAGCTTTTTTCTCGTCTGAGAAAAGATGTGTTTGGCAACTCGAGATTGTCAAAAGTTGTAGAAAATGAGGCAGATACAGGGCGGCAGGATGATTTGTCCAGGGAGGCAAGGACTGTGATTCAGGAACAGAATCAGGAACAGAGATTGAAAGAGTTCCTTATTCCCCACATTGACTTTATATGTTAGACCGTGGGTCAACAGACTTTTTCTATAAAGGGCCAGAGAGTAAGTATTTTAGGTTTTATGGGCCACATGTGGTCTCTGTCACATATTCTTTGTTGGGTGTTTTTTAACAACCCTTTCCAAGTACAAGAAGCCCTCTCAGCTTGAGGGCCATGACAAACAGCCCTGGTCCAGAGTGGCCCACAGCGTCGTTTGCCGTGCCCGGTACTAGACGAATGGAGGACGTACAGTCGCGGCACAGTCACTATTCCCTGTGACATCAGAGCACATCTAGTGGATGGTAGTGCATTATGGGTGCCGCATTTTTGGGAGGGAAAGACAAAACTTATTTTCTATTGCTTTAGAGTGCAAAAGTGGGACCAATGAGTAGAACATAAAGAGAAATAGATTTTTGGTTAACAAAGACGTTTTTTCAATACAAATGTTGAAATGTGCTCCCTTCCACGATGAGCTCTGTGTCACTGGAAGTGTCTGAGCAGAGGAAGTCAGAGTGAAGGCTGCCAGGCTGGACAAGAGCAATAGTCCCTTCCAACTCCAAACTTTTTGCTTGAAGTTAGACCACAGAAAATTTAACACAAAAAGTGTTTTAAGTTTATTGTGTATGATTTTTTTAAACTATAGGCACTAGAGGAGAAAATGTTTTTGATAGATTTGGAAAGTTGCAGGGGTAGAGTCGCACATTGCTGTGGAAAAGTGAACTGCTCCCACATCTCTGAGACACGTCCTTGGGCAGAGAACCAGCTTAAGCTGCTCCTGCTGAAGTTCTTGAGCACTGAGGCGAGGGCCTGGGAGCCACCTGCACTCTGTCCCACGAGCACATCACCTTCCCCCTCGGAACAGATTCCACGTGTCCTTCCCTCTACCGGGATTCTCACGCTCCATTTCAGAGTGAAATAACCAAAGGTTTCAATCCACACGTGCTTTCTGGGAGACAGAAGGACATCTAGCATAGATTCCCAGTGCACTGATTGGCACTGAGGATTTCTCAGAGCTGACCAGAGCCCTCAGCTGGCTCTGCCCACCTCCCTCAGAGCACTCAGGCCCCCTCAGCACGCAATGTTCGGAGAGAAAGGGCCTTCCCTGCTTCCCCCATTGTGAGCACGGGGTTGCGTATTTGAGGACAGCTTTTAGCAGCACCGCACATTTCAGCTGTAAATGACGGACTTCTTTTAGATGAAATGATATGATGTCTAGCAATTACTATCAATAAGGATGTTCAGCCAATAAAATCAACTGAAAAGGAGTGTTTTCACCACCAAAAATGGAACTAAGTTTTCTAAACTAAGTTGGAAGGAGCGAGTCCTGAGTACCGCTGAGACTTGAGCAGTTCTAAGTTAGTAACAAGTTGTGTCCCTGAGGAAAGGGGATGGGGGGTGAGACAGAGCCGAGGCGGGGGAGTGTCACAGACTTGCTGCTTACCTCCGTCTGTCCTGTCTACATTGCCCCCACTCCCACCCCCCAGTTGGCTCCCTTGCTTTTAGTAGAATTTGAGTTTCAAAAAGCTGGGGTTAGAGTGGCCTACTCTATTTGTTACCCCAGTTTCATACATATACAAGAACTACTATATGTGCCAGTTGTTCCCTGGGGCAGGGCAAAGAAGAGAATGAGACGGGAATGGAAGGTGTCAAGAGCAGTGGTCTGAGGTTCAACAGTAGAATCACAAATCCCAGCATCACTGATGCCCTTTGCTCCCATCCGTTTCATGTATGTTCAGAAACCTGTAAATATCTTGCGTGTCTGGTTTCCTTGCTACATTGGTTATTCTGTTAGGGGGGCAGTATGTGTAGTGGTTAAAAGCATAGCCCTTCACACTGTGTAGGGTCAGACCTCAGCTCTGCCACTTACCAACTGTGGGACCTTGGACAGGTTATTCTGTGCCTCAGTTTTTCTTCTATAAAAAGGGAATAATGACAGTATCTACTGTATAGGATTTTTTTTTAAGATTAAATGTGATAATACATGTAATGCATTTAGAAAATGCCTGGTGCATAGAAACTCTGCAATAAATGTTAGCTATGACAATAATTGTTGTTATTGTTAATTTTGAGGTCAGTGAGGAGACAGTATATTTAAAAAACAGGTTTCTGTTCTACCATCTGTCCCAGCTATGACTAACTGGAAGAAGCTACCTTCAGATTGCCACATGGCTTGTCAGAAAAGCCTATTACCAAGAATCTTTGTTAAGACTTTCAATTTAAAAAATATATTGTCATTGTCAGGTGGGCAGAAACAGCGGATTGCAATTGCCCGTGCTCTGCTTAAGGTAAGCCTGAAGCCACTTGGCTGGGTTTTTTTGTTATTGTTTTTAATTAGGGTCCTTGCAATTTTAATTTACTATTTTTTTCTGCCCCTTCCCTTTTTTTTTTTTGGAGGGGACAGTAGGTATATGGTTGATAGTTATGGTGAAAGATGAGTTGAGAGTTCCACCGAGTGCATGTCGTGCAAATTTAACAAGTATATCTTGGATATTAGGATCCCAGTACTGTGCTAGGGTTGTCAGAGGAGAAAAGCTTAACACATGGACCTCCCATCAAGAAGCATACAGTCTTAACCAGTGAAACAGTGATTATGTCAAAGTATCAAAACAATAAGTACACTTACTTGTATAATCTGTAATCAACTGCTAAACTGAATAGTACGGATTTGACATACTGGACTCCTCAGAGGAGAGGGAAAAGCCATTTCAGCTGAAAGTCGTAGACATTGGGTTTTTTAGGAAATGATAACCTTCCCCTTTGTCATATAACTACTCTCCTCAGATTTATAGGTGATTTTTTAAAAAACAGCTTTGTTGAAGCATAACTTACATACCATAAAATTCACCAGTTTTAAATGTACTTTTCAGTGATTTTTAGTAAATTTGCAGAGTTGTTCTCAACCATTGCACAATTCAATTTTGGAACACTTCTATCACAGCTGTTAATAAAAAGATCCCTTGCAGCCATTTTCAGTCTTTCCACATTCCCACCCCAAGCCCACCACTGATCTACTTTCAAATGTCTGTCCATATTTGCCTTTCTGGACATTTGAGGTAGATAGAATCAGACAAGTTGTGGCCTTTTCCCTCTGGCATCTTCTACTAGTGTAAGGTCTTTGCAGTTCCTCCATGTTGAGGCCCGTGTTAGTACTTTATCCCTTTCTGTTGCTGAGTAGTAGTCCTTTGTATGGATATACCACAGTTTATCTGTTCACCAGTTGATGACCATTTGGGTTGTTTCCAGCTTGGGGCTATTGTGGCTAGTACTGCTCTGAATGAATGGTGTATAAGTTTTTGTGTGGACATATGTTTCATTTCTTGTGGACAGATTCCTAGGGAAAGCTAGAATTTAATGTTATGTACATCAGCTAACTCTTATTTTTTCTCAGTTTTAAGGGATACTCCTAACTAAACTATAAGCAGGACCTTGAGAGTCTAATCTCTATCTCACTTGCTTTAGATCCCCGCCTCACACTGTTAGTTGACTGACCAGCAGGGTAAAACTACTATAAACAATACCCAGTCCGATGATTACTGTGATAATGGTTTAAAATCATCTCTAACTCTTCCATGTATGTGCTTATCTCAGAAACTTATGAGTTTGTGTTTTTCTCTTTCTGTAGCAGCTTTATTGTGATATAATCCTCATCCTATATAATTCACCCACTTAAAGTGTACAATTCAGTGGGTTTTAGTGTATTCATAGTTGCACATCCGTCACCATAATCAATTTTAGAACATTTTCATCACCGCAGAAAGAGACCCTATTCCCTTTAGCAGTCACGCACACACCCCTCCCTATTTCCCCATTGATCACAGCCCCACTAATCTACTCCTGTCTCTATAGATGTGCCTATTCTGGACATTTCGTATGAAGTCATACAATATGTGGCATTTTGTGTCTGGCTTCTTTCACATAGCAGGATGTTTTCAAGGTTCATTCATGTTGTTTCATGTATCAGTACTTCATTTCTTTTTATTATTGAGAGTTTGTGTTTTTCTAATAAAATTATGTTTTCTTTTTAATGTTTTTCCTTCTTCAGAATCCCAAAATTCTTCTACTAGATGAAGCAACCAGGTGAGGATATCTTAATACTATGTGTAATTGTATTAAGCCAAATTCTTCCTTTACCAAAAACGTATTATTCTGTACTTCAAAGTGATACAGCTTAAAAATGCCTTTTTCCCCCTTACACTTTAAAGTGACCAAGTCTGAATTAATAATGGGAGGCAGTGGGAGGCACTAGATAGGCTAAGTCATGAATTGAGGGTCCTAGTTCCAATCCAGATACGTTTGTGATGACTCCCTGATCACTCTAATCAGCAGCTGTGCAGAATGCTGTTCTGCTTACGTGACAGTAGTTCTATGGAAGTCAAAGGTCCCAAGCTTCTTTTTAATAGTATCTTTATAATATAAAATGTATATAGTAGACCCAAGAAGTTGCAATTTTGATCATAATAAAAAGTCACTGCTGGGGCCGGCCCCGTGGCATAGCGGTCAAGTGCATGCTCTCTGCTGGGGTTCGGCAGCTGGGGTTCGGATCCCGGGCGCGCACCGACACACTGCTTGTCAGGCCATGCTGTGGCGGCGTTCCATATAAAGTGGAGGAAGATGGGCACGGATGTTAGCTCAGGGCCAGTCTTCCTCAGCAAAAAGAAGAGGATTGGCATGGATGTTAGCTCAGGGCTGATCTTCCTCTCACACACACACACACACACACTCTAAATAAATAAATATTAAAAAAAAAAAGTCACTGCTATTGAAGGGCCACTGTATGTATAACAGGAAATATATGAGTATACAGTATGTGTGGCACTGACATCTTTGCTTTCTCACATGGGTTTCCCTTTTAAGTGCACTGGATGCTGAAAATGAGTACCTTGTACAAGAAGCTCTAGATCGACTAATGGAAGGAAGAACAGTGTTAATTATTGCCCATCGTTTGTCTACCATTAAGAATGCTAATATGGTGGCTGTTCTTGACCAAGGAAAAATTACTGAATGTGGGAAACATGAAGAACTGCTTTCAAAACCAGATGGGATATACAGAAAATTAATGAACAAACAAAGTTTTATTTTAGCATAAAGAAGCAATTACTGGTAAACCGAATATAAAGACTTTAAAGCAAAACAGCATTGCAGGAAAAAAAAAACTTGACACAGTATGAAACCTGTAAATCATACAAGTTATTTGAAATATGCCTATTTTTTCCAAAGTGTAAAATATTGTTTTGAGATGTACCTATTCTCAAGAACTTTTTATTCAGTTTTAATAATTGTAACTTTCTAAATGTCTATAGCACTGAAGTTATTTTCAGGTTTTGTACTTTCTTTTATCTTGGAATATTTTAATTAATATAGCATGGAACCTCATTTTTTTTTTTTAACCTGCTGTAATAAATTGAAGCTGTTGTCAAATGACAACTTTTAAAAGGGAATTATAAATAAAAAGCCTAATTATTTTAGGCCAGTTTGCCAATCACTGTGTAATTCTCTTGGTAGTATTCTACCTACTTTGGGTCTGATTTTACTAGGTAATGTAATAGAAGATGAAAATCTAACTCTTTTTTTGTCCCAATAATCTCATGAGGCAAACCTGACTAATATGCATACAGAAATAGTTAATGTCACATGGCCAGAAGGGGACATTTATATTACCCATCTCCTGTGTCTTCAAAGGTGTGAGAGTTTAGGAGTGTGTTCCTCTGGGATGAGACTGTGTTTGGATGTGTGCAGTTTTCAACATTTTGGCACATGAGAGCTTGATGAGTTTTAAAAAGGGGAGAAGCCCCATCCTTTGAATAGGAAAACTTCTATTTTCATTATTCACATATTTGTTTTCTGTGACTACTTTGGGAAGTGAGGCATGAAATGCCAAATATTATCAAGAAAGGTGGAAAAATTAATTTTATATTTAAGTTTTCTAAAGGCATGTATTTTGAAAATTATCTTTTAAAAATATAGAATTCTTAGCCAAATTTTACAGCTTTTTATTAGGTAAATACTTTTGAAATTTCATTCAATGAGGCTAAAATCCAAATAATATAACTGTAATTTTCGACCTTAAAACATCTGAAGAAAGTTTAGAATTCTTGCTATTCTACAGAATATCAAGAAACCTTAAGAACTTGTCACTCTTCTGAAAAGAGCACAATAACGCTTTTTCTTTTATTCCATAAATTCCTAAAGTAATGCTGACAACCAGTGGATTTGCCATATTTCATATTAGTGCTGTTAATTTGCTGTTGTCTCAAGAAAAAGTGCTTTTTCTACATTGATGATGCCAGAACCTAAGCAGTAACTATGTTGATGTAATTAAAATGGAAGATTTCTCATGTACTAAGTATTCATTAGTTCCCTGATTATACTGGAAAAAGAAACCACTATTTCATGATAAGCATGGAATATTTCATTCTACATAGGGGAATTTTTTAATGAATAAAATGAATTCAGTGAATGAATGAACTCATTGTTCTTTAAATCATTAACAGTACCTCTGTGACAATCATTTTAACGAGCTTTACTTGTATTCTTTATACAGTTTGCTATTATGGTGTGGTTCTCAGCAGACGAAACACAATTACAAGGTTGAATCTGGGGGAAATCTCTTTGTGCCATAGAAGCATTTACAAAATTGAATTTGATCATTATATTTTATTTTCTAATACAAGATGTTCAATTGTGTCTTTAGGTAACATTTTATATCATGGATTAAAATTTATAGTGAACTTCAGCTGTGTCTGTCACTTCTTGTAAAACTTTTTACTACATTCAGTAGTAGAATTGGCTAGAATTTGGCTATAGAGACTCAGAAATAAAGAAAAAACTAACATTACAAATATAGAAAAGTGAGTAGTAAATACAAGTTCCATGTTTCTCCTCCTTATCTAAGATAGTTAATGCCCTCATTTGTTTACTATTTATAAACATTCTGTTTAGTTGCTTCAGTTCAGTAAATAAGTATCCCCTACCCCCACCATGGATAAGGAACTGTGCTCTTGTCTGGCACAGTATCTGCCCCCAGGGGTCTTCTAGTTTAGAAAGGAAGGTAAGGCAGACACAAATTAACTACAAGAGGATAGCTCAGTATCACAGAGGTGTTGTTGGTAACACTGTGTTTGGTACCACGTTTTTGTTTCCAGAGTGTTTGCGTATGTTACCACATTTGATACTTTGACAATCCTGTAATTTAAACAAATTCCTATCATCCCCATCTCACAGATGAGGAAAGAAGCATAGGCAAGTTGTAAGTTAATTCAGCATTGAGGCTGTATACAAGAAGATACTAGGGAACAGGCATGGGCCAGATCATGGGGGGCCTTCAATGCCATGCTGAAAATCTGAGTTTTCATCCTACATGCATGGAGAGCCATTGAAGGATATGTATGTTCATGTAAGCAATTTAGAAAATAAACAAAAAAGATTTAAATCACCTGAAATCCTACATGTGAAGATAAAATTTAGCCTTATGAGCTTAGCATTTTGTTGTCCACTCTCCCAGGCTCATCTCTGTGTGCAAGGTCTCTGACCTTGGACCTGACTGGTTCCCAAGAAATAATCCCAAGTTAAACCATTATAGGCCAAACTCTTGTAAGTGCAGTTTTATAAAGTGGGGCTGCATTTTGGGAAATCCACTGTATTCCATAAAAATGCCAAGGCTGTTAGAAAATAGATGAAAACAAATGTAAATGTTACAGAACATTATATTAATGAAAGAAGTACATGAAAACTACACTGTAAATATTCCTTTGGGGGTTATATATCTGAGGCATCGTGGAGTTTCCTTGGCAGTCTCCATTCATTCAACTCATTCCATAAACATTTACTGAGCATCTTCTGTTTTGTTAGGTCCTGTGCTAGGTGCTGGCTGTGCCTCCCTCACGAAGCGAGTGCAGGAGTCAGCAAGCTGCACCTGCTGCCTGTTTTGGATGGCCTGCAAGCTAAGGATGGTTTTTACAGTATTAAACGGTTAAAAAAAGTTAAAAGAAAAATATTTAATAACACATGGAAGTTATATGAAATTCACATTTCAGTGTCCATAAACAGTTTCGTTAGAACACAGCCACACTCATTCATGAGCAACTGTAGAGCCTGCAAGCTGGAGATTCCTACCCTCTGGCCCTTGACAGAAAGAGTCTGCAGACCCCAGAACTGGTGAAAACAATATGCATCCTTCACTGCTTGAAGGGCTTTTAAACTACACTGATGGGCCAGTCCTGTGGCTTAGCGGTTAAGTGCGCCTGCTCCGCTACTGGCGGCCCGGGTTTGGATCCCGGGCACGCCCCGACGCACAGCTTCTCCGGCCATGTTGAGGCCGCATCCCACATACAGCAACTAGAAGGATGTGCAACTATGACACACAACTATCCACTGGGGCTTTGGGGAAAAAAAGGAGGAGGATTGGCAATAGATGTTAGCTCAGAGCCGGTCGTCCTCAGCAAAAAGAGGAGGATTAGCACGGATGTTAGCTCAGGGCTGATCTTCCTCACACACACACACACAAAACTACACTGAAATTGAGTTACCTCAGAACGTTCCATTGCGATTAGATGAGAATGCCTTGAAAATGATTGGGCATGGGTAGTTTCCATGATGAGTTCTTCATTGTTCCCTTGCCTGTCCACTTTAATAATATCATAATTACTGTGTTGCTGAGAATGGAATTCTAACAGTTCTACCACATCTGCCGGAAATAATTCTGGCTACTTTCCTGTTGTCAGTTGCAGTGATTAGTCCCACATAAATCAAAGTCTGGTCTTAATTGAAAGGGCTGTATTTTAGGAAGCTTGTACAGAAGGAGGCATCTACGAGCTGAGTATCTCACACATGTACACATGTCTATACTTGTGAGGTATTTTTCTTTTTATTTTAATAAAACAAAAATGGGCTTATATGGGACATACTATTTGTTAACCAACCTGCTTTTTTTATTTGATAGAGTATTTTCCTATACCTTTAAGTATTCGTTAGACACATCCACATGTATTCTTTTTTTTTTTTTTAAGATTTTATTTATTTTTTTCCCCCCCAAAGCCCCAGTAGATAGTTGTATGTCATAGCTGCACATCCTTTTTCAGTTGCTGTATGTGGGACACGGCCCCAGCATAGCCGGAGAAGCGGTGCGTCGGTGCGCGCCCGGGGTCCGAACCCAGGCCGCCAGCAGCGTATCGCGCGCACCTAACCGCCAAGCCATGGGGCGGGCCCCACATGTATTCTTTTTAATCATATAACATTCTATAATGTTAATATACTATAAATCTATCATTGGACATATATCTTGCTTTCCATATTCTTTGCTATTATAAACAATACTACCTATATATCTTTATGATTTCTTTGATTTTTTTCAGATAACTTCTGAAAGTGAAATTGCCAAGTTAAAGAGCATATACAAATTATAAAACTTTTTAACAGACTGTCCTCTTAAAAGACTGTACTAATTTGTAATCCCACCAGAAGTGTATACAATAATGCCTATTTCCCCACAACCTTTTCAACGTGAGCTATTTTCATTTTTTAAAACATTCCTGCTAATTCAACAGGCAAACAATGCTGACGGGTGGTTTAATTTGAATTTCTTTAATTGCTAGTGAAGTTGAAGATCTTTTCATGTATTTTTGGTCATTTCTAGTCTTTGATTTAGTGCTAGTTCATGCCCTTCATACATTTCCATTTTTTCTACTGGGGTAGCTTGCTTTCTCTTACTGATTTTCTTTGAAGAGTACTATTTCATTAGAAATATTTTTTTCTTCAGCTTGTTTGCCTTTCTGCTGTGGTTGTGTTTTCTGACATCCACAAATGTAGTCATATCTATATTATCTAATTCTCAAAACAAGTGGGTACTAGTAGTAATTTAACAGAGGCTCAAAAAGGTGATTTGAAGCAAGTCCCATTTAATTCCAGAGTCTATACACTCAATTAATATGCCAGTGGTTATGGCAATGTCCCCAGACAGCAGCGTCAGCAACACCTGGGAAATGCAAATGTTAGAAATGCAAATTCTCAAGCCTCAGCCCAGACCAACCAAGTCAGACACTCTGAGGATGGGGCTCCGCAATCTGGCTTACCCCAACCCCTCCAGGTGTTGCTGATGCATGCTTAAGTTTGAGAGCCCCTGCACTACACTATCCTGTCTTCTAGATTTCTAGTGTAAGTATCTACACTTACACTAAAATAAGGTAAAATAAGATAAATAAGGACATGGCAGGCACTAGGAAAATGTAGCACTCTGGGGAGTGGTAAAGAAGCACTCATGCTGCCCCAAGGTGTATGTCCTGAATATCTTCTGCTCCACTCACCAACTTCTCCACTGTATACTCCAGGAGGCCGCCCTCCATGGACTGTGCTAGTGTCCTCCTCCCTCACACTCTGGCCTCCAGAGGTGGCTGGAGGCCAAGAGAAGAGTGAGGTCATGATACTTACATCCCCAGTCCCCTTCCTCCTGGGATGCCATGGGTTGGCTGCATCTCCCAACCCAAGGCCATGGCTCTGGCAGGTGGCCTTTTTTCTCAGGTTCTGGTGACCCCTTCCTTGGCTCATTTGTTGTTAGGAGCCTCAGGGCTCTACACTACCCCTAATATTCCTGTATTAAACTCTCTTTACTCAGCTTGAGGGTGCTGTTTCCTCTAGGATCTTGTTTTATAGAGCCTACAAGGCCCTTCGTGGCCCCTCTTTTCCCAATTTCCTCTACTGTTAGTCATTTGAGGTTGGTTTGCTTGTTTCAAGTCCCTGGAATGCACCAAGATCTTGGCTGCTTCAGGACTTTTGCCTGAGGATCCTCTGCTGAAAACACTCTTCCTCCTATTCTTTGCCTGCTCGTGCTTCATGTTTCAGTTTAAATGTCCTTTTCTCCCAGAGGCCTTCGTAGATCTTCCTCCAAAATTAAGCATCCCCAGTTAGTCTCTATCATATACCCTGCTCTTTTCTTTCACACTGCACATCTCAATTTGTGGTTATATACTTATTTGTGTTCATTTGTTCAGTATCTGTCTTTCTCATTGGTCTGTGATCTCCATGAGGGTAGGGCCCATGTCTACTTCAAGAGGGAAGATGGCCAACTCATGTCCAAAAGAACAATCTCAAGGGGGCAGAAGAGCTTATAGCAGTTATATAGGCTGGTGGGTTACAGTGGGGGGTGGGGGTGGGGTAGGAATGTTGAGCCTCTGGTGTTACAGACTGGGAGTCGCCACACCAGATCTTTCAGTTTTCATTGATGATGGCTATCAGCATAGACTTCCTGTTCGGGGGTCATCACATTCCTAAGGAACTCAAAAGAACAAAGTTATCATCTTATCGCAGCTGGGAGGTACATGCATAAGCAGGGGTCATAAAATCTACAGAGCAGTTAGATCTCCTGGAGGGTGCAGATCCAGCTGGGTTAGTTAGTCAGAGGTCATTCAAAGTTACAATAGGGTTTCTTTTCTACAATATGGCTTCCCTCATGTCAACCTTGTCTTGAGCTGGTATCAGCAGGTACTCGATAAATCCATAATGAATGAATGACTCATAGTGCTATCTACTCACCATTCTTCAATAGTCATTCCAGCTCCTGCAAACAGCAGCTTTTATAACTGCATGGTGGGCAAACCACTAGCCAGTCCAACAAAGCCCAAGAACAAATTTATCCCACCAATACCCTCTCAGCCATGACTACGCTCCATTTCTCATCTTACCCCTCCCCCTCCTCCACCAAGTAAGAATGAAACAAGGAGGAAATGCGCTAGGTTGTAAGAG